CCAGGAGTAGTCCAGTTCCAGCTTGGTGTTCCGGGAGTTGTCCAGTTCCAGTTAGGGGTAGTCTCATTCCAACTGGGTGGAGTAGGAGTAGTCCAGTTCCAGCTGGGTGGAGTAGGAGTAGTCAAATTCCATTGGGGACCGTCAGTCGTCTGATTCCAGCTGGGGGTGCTTGAGTTCCAAGAGGGTGCAAAAGCACTTCCAATGCAATATTCAAGGACTCCGAATGACCTTTCGAGTGCATGCAGAGTTCTGCTGATTTCATACATGACACAGCGTTCCGTCAGCCAGAATTGCTTCAGCATGGGACGCACACCGACAAACAGATTCATGACCTAAATTAAAGAGCCTTTGATTAGTAACCCGCTCGTTTGCTTGTTGTTTCCCTCGCTGTCTCACCGAATCCGTATAGCATTTACGCGTGCTGCAACCGGCCAGCTGCTGCTGGAAGGCAGCCCTCACTCCATCGGAGCTCGGCTGTTGCAAATAGCTCTGCAACTGGGTTTGATCCAAATTGGCGCACTGACGCAGCTTGTTGCCCGCATTCATTAATATCTCCACATTTCTGACCTGAAAATTGGCCGTACACTGATCCAAATCACTGAGTATACCAATTTGGGGTAATTGAAGATCTCCAACGATGGCATCGAACAGCTCATTTGATAGGCTCGATTGAATGGGCTCAGATGTCTGTAAATTAAGAGAGGTTTCGATAAGCGGAATTCTGAGGTTAGGCTGGCATTATACCGAGTTGTATGTTCAATATGTTATGGAGCCAATCATTTAATGTTTGATAAAGTTCCTTATAGGTATATGAATAGCTTGTAGGTTAAGAGTAGTATCTACTCTGACTCTGTTTAGTGATCCTTTTCTCGTTGCTTTTTAATCTATTATTTTATTTTTTTTATTTATAGTTCACTTCACAAGTTTATCAACAAATCATAAAGCACTTCATAGATATAAAATTTAATTAAATTCAAATTAATAATTTTTTAAAAATATTTGACAATTGATAAATTTAGAACACAGATATGATGAGTGAATCACAAATATATTTAGTCTTGGCATTACTTTCCCTACAAATATGCACCTGGTAAAGGTGCCAATTAAGTAATATCCATTCTACATACCGTTGCGCTGAATAACAGTGCAAAAAGCACAAAAATTTTGCAGAGAACCTCCATGTTGAGGCCTTCGTTCGTTAATGACTTGGTCACTGGGTCTGGCCAAGCATTTTAAATCAAAAACACGATGACGATTTCAACTTTCTATTTTTGCTTTTTGCTTTTGGCCTTATCGCTATTACCGCTATGAAAAATCACAGCCAACAAAGTAATTTTTGGCAAGGTGTCCGCCAAGTGATAAGGCCACAAAGCCCCTGATTGATAATTACATTTATCTAGCCACACATACATATATATGTATAAACATATACATATGACTAATTAGATAATTGTGAATAATTCTCAGTGCCTTTTGACAGCAGCTATAAATTGTTATTGTTTTATAGGAGCCATTGACTTGTGGCTAATTAGATCTTGATATTCGATAACGGCATATTGAGGAGGTCAAGTAATATATGAGTATATAAATATATTGAATATTAAAGCTCTTTATTCAGCGGCAATAAAACTGAAGTTGTTGCCATAAATTCTATAGCTCACATTTAGTTGGCTGACTGTTCGACGGCCACGGACTGCTGAGCGGGCTGCTGAGCGGACTGCTGAGCGGACTGCTGCTCGAATGGCTGCTGTGCGAATGGCTGCTCAGGTTTCTGTTCCACTTGTTGCTCTGGCTGCTGCTCCAACTGCTGCTGTAGGTGCTTCTGCTCCAGCTTCTGCTCCTCCGGCTGGGCGGGCAGCTCACGCTGTTGCGACACCTTGACCATGCACATATCGAAATTGTTGGCTGCCTCAATGGACTTCACCTTCGATTCACTCACGGCGGCCCGTATGCAGCTAGAGCGCTGAGTCTCCACCACAGAGGCATTCGATACAAACTGCGATTGGGTCTGATAAGCCAAAGTGTTGCAGCTATCCAGCAGCTCCAAGTTCCTATCCAGCTAAGCAGTTATAAAAGCGATATTAGCTATAAATACCTATATAAATTGGGGACTGCACTTACTGTCGACACGGTGCAGTTGATGAAGCGCTGGTTGTCTGTCTCATTGAGGCACTTTTGCAGGTTCTTCTGCAGCTCAATTTGCTGGCTGCGTATGGTGTTGACGGTGGCAGTGCTGCGCTGGACATTCTCCACGACGGTGCGATTGGCGACATCCTCGCACTTGGTGGTTTTGCTGGCCAAATCCGAGCCGATCTTGCTGGTCGCATTGGTGTACCGACTGAAGCAGGTCGCCTCACCAGCAGACGCTAGGGCGCGCGGCTGAGCCAGCGGCACGCCCAGCTGTGACATGACCATGCGAAGCAGAGTCGTCTCGTCGGCCATGCGGGGCCAGGCGCTGGCCTGCAATGGAGCCAACAGCGAATTCAATTGTAATTAAATGCAAATTGGTCTCTCCCAGGTCGATTACTTACGCCCAGCACTGTGACGGCGAGCAGTAGAATGCGTGTTAACAATTTCATCTTATTCCAGTTGCTTTCTCGAGTGCTAACTAATTGCTCATCTCAATGTTTCAGTTGCTTTTATAGCTGACTAAATGCTGCAACAATATCTTCTGATTTCTGCTCTTTGTATCGTTTCTCTTCTTCTTCTTCCTCTTTTTTGCAACATTCGATTAGATAGGGGAAATGTACAAGACAATTGGCAGGCTTAATTGGCTTCTGTGCAGTTTTAATACAAGTAGGAACAACCTTCTGCAGTGATATCGTGGCCGAGGTTATTGTGTAAAGCGCCAGCTATGATAAAACACACACATACATATATGTACAGTTAGACATACACTAATAATCAGTGTTCATGTCCCATTAGTTGCTGCCTTATCAGACAGCTTCAAAACGGTGTCTTGTTGTCTGCATTTTTATCGTACCACAAATATGATATAAGAGCTTATTTTTAAATTGTATACATACATATAAAAACCCCGACTGAATCATCGGGGCGCTTGTAAAACCAATTTGTAATCAAATCGAATTTAAGTCAGGGCTTAATTGATTTGCTGCTTAATTCTCGAGCACCACATCGATAGAATCGCATGATTTTCCCATTGCTCGTTCACACGTTTATCTGGCAAACGTCATGATGGAAGCCTGTCTGTGCACTTTCTCAGAAGCAATAGGGGAATCGGCCCATGCCATCATCGACTATAAAACTTTTTAATCAGTTCATGATAATGTACAGAGCATTTCCATATAATTCTCTTATCGTTTCCTCCAATTATTTTTTCCTCGGTCAGTTGTTATTCAATTTGAGCAATTTATGAATGGTAAAACACATTACGCCTTGTGTTTTTT